CCCCCCCTTTACCGAGGGGCTCGTGTCCATCGCCTGGAGCCAAGCCTTCGCAGCAAACCACGTTGCATATCTCCCTCTGTATGTAAATCTCGGCCAACGCCTTCTCTGGCTGAACCGAGCAAGCTTCTAGTGAGTCGAACATGGTGGAATAGTAGTACAGAGCTTCCGTGAACCGGTCCAAGAACCCGGTTTGGTTGTGGTTCGCTTCTTGCTCAACCACCGTCATGATTTTCGGGTTTAAGCTCCGGATCCAACTCAGGACCGAGTCGATCGGAGAACTCCGGGTAGGATCCGACCCGAGGAGGCGGTGGAGATGCATGACGGAGTTGACGGCGACGGCCTCCTTAGGGCTGACCTGGAGCATCCACGGCTTGACGTCGTCAAGCCTCGACGCCGCCACGCCGCGGAAGGCGAAACGGACGTTGACGGAACGGGCCAACTCGGCGAGTCGGAGACCGATTTCACGGAGCGAGTCGCGGCCGTCGGGAGACGGCGGGCCAATGCCGGTAAGCCGGAGAAGAGGAGGTCCCCCGGGACGGAGAGCCAGGGCTTGGATAAGCGCCGGCCATTGGAGGCCGTGCATGAGGTTGAAGTCGATGACGTGGACGCAATCGTGGCCGTCAAAGGCTTCGAGGATTGCTTGATTTGCTGTGAAGTGGGCGAATTTCAGGTACGGTGACGCCTCGTAGAAATTATGGTACAGAACCTCGTTCTCGTAGACCGAACCGTACGCATCGGAGGAACCGGGGGGAGCGGAGCCAATTCCCTGCGGTGCGAAAATCCGACGGCTGAGAGCGTCGATGAAATAGCCGGCGACCTTCCCGATGCCGCATTCCGTGTTGACGCGCGTCAGCAGGGACTGCATGTTCTCGATAAGCGAGCCGGCCAATGCGAGTTCGCCACGCTGGATAGATTCGGCGCACGTGACTAGCGCGTGGACCAGCCTTATCCCGGAATCTTCCTCCATCGCGGTCACCACCGTCAACTGATGAGGGTTCTGATTGTGGAGGGCAATATTCTGGTGCAGCTGAGGCGTAGCGTTATTCGGCCAGAATTCGTTCCCGGCCGTCTGATTTAGAGCGACGGCCCCGTTGATCAGATCGGGGAAATCAGGGAGATCAGAGGATAGAGAAGGAGGGGAAGAGAACTCGGAGAGGAGAGAGTCGACCCAAGAGCCGATATCGGAAGGATTGTAGTGGACGGCGTCGGAGGCGAGTTGGGAGATGTCAACGGCGGGGGAGTTGACGGACATGACGGTCTCGAGGCGTTCGAGGCGTTGAGCGACATGTCGTAGATCGGAGGAGCGGACCTTGTAGCCGGCGCCGGCGAGGAGGCCGTCGATTTCGTTTGGGGCCTTCGGCAACGAGGAGGATGAGCTGCCGCTGGTGCTGCCGGCCGAGTTGGGGGAGTCGTACGGCCCCATAGTGGAAATAAAATGGGATTCCCTCTTTTTTTCCCCTCTCTCTGGTTTCTGATTATAGGAAATCAGACGGGTTTGTAATTCATTCCGAGAACAAGGAGATGTAGAGAGAAAAAGAGTGATTTTGTATCTGATATTTTGAGACTCTTTGAGAAGTGAAAATAGTTGGTGGAAGAAAGGGTTTTGACGAGAGAGATGGAAAGCCGGGAGGTACATAGAGTGAGTGGCAAATGTACAAATTACAATAGAAATATACCTGAAAAATAAATGAAAAATAAAAAAATATAATCGTTATGAATAGTTATTATCCACCTCAATTAAAATTAGTGTATAAATTAGTTGGAGTTACTGTTCATATTAAAATCTTATTATATAAATCTTATTATATAAATGTAACTGAAAATAATGAGTATTATGTAAATAGTAACCGTTAATAATGTTAAAAGTTTTTTATAAGTAGAATTTTAAAACTTTTCATTTTATATACAGGATTAATAAAACTTTCTCTCTAATTTCTCTCTTTAAAATTGTTCTTCTTAATTTTGCATTTTATTAATTTTCATAACAATAATATATTATTTAAAAAAAATAGTATAATATAGAACATGAAAATGTAGGTTATATTTCTTTTCTTTCTTTCTTTCTTTTTTTAAAAGAGAATGTAGGTTGTATTTCTTTTTTCTTTTTTTTTTAAAGGGAAATGTCTGTTGTATTTCTGAGAATATATAATCGGTATATGTCTTAGAAAATAAAAATAGAAACGGAAAATTTTCTTTCAATCGTTTGTCTCATTCATTTATTTTCATTCCCTAAGCAAGATTGCAAACAAAACCTAATTTTATCGAGAAATGTAAATAGATAATTTCGAAAGGGGAACAAATAGGACCTTGGTTTTTTTTAATCTTTTTTTTTTCTTTCATTGCCCTGCCTTTTTCAGGTAATTATTTCTATTACCTTAGGGTTTTTTTTTCCTTAATTCCCCTAGAGTGTAAATTGTAATTAAGAAAGAAAACCAAAGTACTATGTACAGTAAAACCTTTATAAATGAATATTATTGAGACTGAAAAAAAAATATTATTTTAAAAATGTTATTTATTTATCAATAAATGAATAATTTATTAATTTATCTGTAAATGAATGATTTATTAATTTATCGGTAAATGTACCTTTTCTTTTACCAAGATTTATGCAGGAGCTATACATAACAAAGATAATGGTATGTGTACATGGAGAATTACAAAAGTTATCATGTACATTATGAAAAAAAATTTTAATTGTTGTTATGTACATGCATAGAAGCCCGAAATTGATGTATACTGTATGGTATAGAAATGTAATGGATGTTGAGCACCTTCTGAATTATCCTAGTGAGTGATGCATTGATGGAATCACCTACTGATGAAGAGATTATTCAAGGGATAATGGATAAGCCCTGATGATGATCATGATCCAGATGACAGTTATGTTATACTAAATATTTCTTTAAAAAAGGCGTTTCAAGTAATAATAACCTTAAATAACTACTTACTACAACATGAAAAATATATACTAGATGTAGTGCATGCTTTGCAAAAAATTAAAGACAAGGTTGAGTTCAATTTAGGTACAAAGGAAAAACAAATGACTTTAGATGCATATTTTGTAAAAGAGTTGAATTGAGAAAATAGAAGTTTTCAAGAAAAAAAACTCTTTGATATTATGAATTATATATGTTTTTTTTTTGTCAATTATTAATTTATATTTTCGTTGGGTCCTAAAGAATTTGAAAAAACTTATTATCTTATACATTATGCGAGATTATTAATTTAATATATTAGTTCGAATTGGGACCGAAAGTTGAAAAACTTATTATCTTATGCATTAAATGAGATTGTTAATTTAATATATTAGTCCGAATCGGGACCAAAAATTTTTATTATTTAAGCAAAATTATTAATTTATCGAACATTTATTTATCGAGATTTTATTTTAATTTTTAGTTCATGCATATCCTGGCAGAAGGATTTAATTAATTTGGCACCATCACCATGGGCCTCTCTCTCTGTTTGCATTTCTAACCGTTCCCATATAAAAAGAAGTTTAAAATGATAAGAATAGCAATACTTGGCAATTCTATTACGTATTTATCACATATGTGTTCCTTAATTAATTGCATATAAGTCGACTGAGGTGAAGGCACAGAAAGGGACTTGGTCAGCTACTCGGCTACAAGTGTTTAATTAGGTAATTTAATATTGAGATTTTTCCACTTTTTTTTAACGTTATTTTTATGTATTTTCTTAAGTAGCGCTCCTCACAAAAAAAAAAAAAAAATAATAATAAGATTATAAGATGAAATGATGAATGATTGGAAATCTGAAAGAAAGATTAAATTAGTAGTATAGTACGTACTGTAGATAAACCTTTCATACCAGATGATAAGGTTTAAGTTTAATTTATTAGTCTAGTTTTCTTAAGCAGAATGTTTATTAGGAAAGTAAAACTTAGGAGGATCTTATTCATCAAAAAGAGTACTTGAGAGGTTCTTAGAAAATTATTGTTGTTAATAATTATTGAGAGAAACAAAACGAGACTAAAAAAAAAAAAAAAAAAAAACCTAATAGATGCGAGAAGTTGCTTGCTCTTCTGTTTTTGAAAGAATTAAGAATTAACACAATTGTTGGTCAAATGATCATGGTTCTATCGACTTTTAGGGAGAAGCTTAAGATTTAAGCCATCCCAAAATGCTTTTTATTAACCCAATTATTTTCGGTTACGAAAACACTTCTTAGCACACAACCATGAATCATGATACTCGTCAATATGCGACCAAAAAACTGAAAAGGCTAATAATAATAACAATAGTAATAATAATAATATAATAATAACAACAACAATAATAATAATAATAATAATAATAATAATAATAATTAATGTAAAATGTGATAGATCCTTCACTTTGTTTTTTTTTTTTTTTTTTCAGTTAAAAAAGTGCCTCTGCATAGATGAGGTTATCAAATTGATAAATTTATAATATTAAGTATTATTTGTAGAGTAGCGTGAAAATTAGACTGCGTAGACAGAGGATAGAGGTTGGAGAACGACGAGGCAGAGGATTAATTTTATCCATTAATAAGTTGCTTTCGGCAGTGGGAAAATACACAATGGGAAATTAAATAATCAGGACTGCTCAATTATAATAGAAAGACGCTTGGGATGTTACAAAGGAATATGCCCTTTAATGTCTCAACATATATCTATTAGACTACGACCTCTAATGATATTGAAGCCCTAAATGATCATAAATTATTTTTAGAAGACTTCTTAACAAATATGAAAAGTAAATTACCATTTTCTTCAATAGTAGTACCTTAAGACTAGGGTTTCGTCTCTTTTTCCCTCTTTTTTATTTGGTACGCCGTTCTCGTGTGCATATTCAAAGGGCCGGAGTTCGACGAAGGCCATAGGCTGGCCTCCAGACTCCCGGCCCCATGGATGGGTTGCAGAACCGTGTGACTTCGTCTTCTCTGATAGCTTTTCCAGGGACGCTTTTGGGCTTCGGGGTGTGTTATCGGCATGTGGATGGTGACCGTTTCAGCCCTTCTGTGTGCGTCGGCAACCCCAAGTTAGATGCGGCCTTGGGAGGTGATGGTCAGATTCGATTGAGGGGGGGGGGGGGGGGGGGGGGGTTATCCTCTAACGACTGGGGATGGCGGAAGGCACTTTGGGCTCTATTTTCTGGGGGAGCCTAGTCTGTGTAGGTATGTTGGAAGGTGGATGCTTTGGGGGGCTTTCTCTGCGGTTGGCGGCGGAGGACAACGGCGGAAGGTGGCTCCTCTCGCTGATGCTTGGGCATCTCTTCCAGCTCTTCAGATTGCGATCTTGACTGTGGATTTCCTCTTTTGGAGTCGTCATCAGATTGTTACCGTTGATTGTGTTTTTGCTGGGTCTGTAACGTTTTGTTTTGGTTTTATTTTTGTCAAATAACGGCGTTGTTGTTACCGCCGATTGTAGTTTTAGTCTGCTTTTTTGTTTGTAATAACAGAGGTGGTTTTCCCACCTTCTGGTGTTGGGTTAGGCGGTGATGCCTTTAGTCTCTTCGTCCTGTTTGATCGGAGTTATCCACCGCCTATAATGGCGTGTTTGAAAGAGCCTTGTCTGTGCTTGATTAGTAGTGTGCCTCTTCTGTTTCCACATGTTGGAACTCGGCACATGTTTCACCCCTTGACCGTTTTCAATCGAACTTACTAGTGGTTCCGGTTTGTTGTCGGGGTTCAGTCCCTAATTGCGTTGTGGTCTTTTATAATTTTCTTTTAGAATGCAATTTCCATTAAAAAAAAGTAGTACCTTATAAGAGTTATTAATTGTCATAGAGAGAGTTGAGAGTAGAGAACTAGCTAGGTGGCTCTACTCTTTATTACCTCTTCAAATTTGTAAAACTATAGTTATGACAATTTAATTAAGGGTTGAAAATATTGTCATTTGTGAAATCCCCATTAGTCTTAGAAGTTAGTACAAAACCACAATCAAGAACCTAAATTCAGATCTAATTTTGTTGTCTAATTTTAGTGTCTTAATTAGTATCTAATCAATTAAATTATACTACATCATTTCATGATAAGCACAATAGAGTTAGTTAAAAAAAAATCTAAATTTTTTACATGACGTGACATAATTTAATTGGTTAAACACTAATTAAGATACCAAAATTTAACAGCAGATTTGAATCCCCTAGATTCATTATCATTATGGGTTGATGCAGTGGTACATATATCGTTGTTTTTTCTCTTTTCAAAACATCTCATATTTAAATCTTTGTTGTTCCGATACAATAGGTCTTGCTGAACTAATTAATAGATTGTGAGGCTTTAGACCGCGGTGGTTTGTCTAATCGAGCTCATTTTTTGAGTTTATTTTCATAATTTCTTCTATAGATATAAGATGAGAGGCGTGATAGCACTAATAATCTTTTTTTTTTTTGGCAAGTATAAAAAAAGGACATAAATTCATTCTTTATTCATTTGAAAGATGAGAAAGTGATAGACTATTTTATTTGGAATTGTTTAATACAAAAGCAACGCAAATCGTCAGTTACCATTACAATATCAGTATCTCTATTAAGAAAATATATATTGTCACTGTATGTAATGTACAAGCTGCATATTCCACAGGAAACAGGTGTAATACGAAGGCATCAACATGTACCATTGTTAATATTAATAAATCTGTTTCTACGTATACTATATATCAACATCAGAAGTAACAAACACGTTCAGATTATATTTGGTTGAATCGGCCCATAATTAAGATAAGGGAAGCGTTAAGAATTTTTCCTCTATTCTAATTATGTAATTTCGCAACTTGGCTATATGAAAATACAAGAATATTAATTAAACAAGAAATGCGACATTAACAAATAATTATTATTTTTTTGAGGGATCCTCTGGGCCCCGCATACTGGTTATATGAACACCCGCATCAAATGGAAATTAGGTCCCGTGGGTGTGTGTCTTTCTTTCTACTTTTAAATAATGAGTCAAAACCTTATAATTTGCTAGACATGAGTCTTTCTCCTTATTCTATATGGCTTGTGAACTTTGTGGTACTCAAGGCAACAAATTTATAATTAGAGGGCAAATTTTGCAATAATCTATTTCAAATCTACGTACTATATTTAATCATCCTATGATTTGGGAAGAGAGAGTCATGACAGTTTAAAGAAGATTAAATATATGCAATTATTGTGTGTGTGTGTGTGTGTGTGTGTGAGAGAGAGAGAGAGAGAGAGAGAGAGAGAGGATGAAGATCAAAACTAGATAGTTGGAATTGGATGATTAAAGAAATAATTAGCATAAAAGGCTGTACATTTTAGTATTAAATAAGATCTGGAAATCAGAAGAAATTGACCAGTTATGAGCAAACTACGTGAAAAGTCTTTCCTCTTATAGGTGGGGTTGACGTGGTCCACTAGAATAATGCACGACTTTTTTTTCTTCCGACGCCAATTTAGAAAATCCAGAAAGGGTATCTAATATAAACTCTAGTTTAGATCATGGGGAATTTGAAATTTATATGGAGTTTTCCATAATATACAGTATCAAAGACAATACAAGCTATTGGAATTCGAATAAAAAAAAAAAAAAAAAAAAAAAAACAGTACAGAAGAGAGAGAGAGAGAGAGAGAGAGAGAGAGATCAACGTAAACTGTGAAGACTGTGGAAGTGGTCCATGGAGTAACATGGAATTTGGGACCATACATAGCTCTATAGAAATTGCAAAGTCCCAAAAAGCACGAATTTAAGTGCAAAGCAAAGAACTTGATTGTTTGATTAAGAGGGAATATGATGTGAACACGTTATTTGGAGAATCAAGAAGAACAAACTTCTTTTTTTTTTGGCGCGTTTACGTCTCAACTTTGATTGGATTGGTAAATTGCCCTGTTGTAGTAAATTATCTTTCATTTTAATAAAATGTAATATAATACTTTCAAATCAATGAATGACATTAAAATTTAGAAATAGATTTTTATTTTAAACGAGCTCAACAATGCACACGAAAGCGTTTTTATTTATTTTCTAAATTTACCAGTCTTCATTAGTTGGAGAGGGTTATATGATATTTTATTAAATACAGAGGATAATTAGTAGAGATTAAAAACTTTACGAGATTAACTTGTCAATTGTGAAAAGTTCAACCAGTGTTAAAAGACTAATCTTTTTTTTTCCCCCTTTTGTGTATATGTGTGTGTCTATATATATATATATATATATATATATATATGCATGTCTGTTTATATGTGTGTGAGCGTGTGTTTTGGTGTATAATGTGTGATTGTGCGCTGGCATTGAGAATATAGAGTGAGGTGGTGTTGGTGTTGGGGTTGGGGACCAGAGCATTCCCTTTTTAACAACATGTTGTGTTTGGGACATACATCTCTATTCTGTACCCCATTCCGTTCCTTTAGCTGACATTATCACGTTATTGCATCTCTGAAAAACATATCATAATCATATAAATCTCTGAAAAACATATCATAATCATATATGAGAGAGAGACACGCACAATTACAAACAACGTTAGAGAGAGAGAGAGAGAGAGAGAGAGTATAACATCTCTAATATTACAAAATATTATTATTTACCACTTGGTAGCATCGAGAGTGGACAGTCTAAAATTTCAAGAACAAAAATTCTCTTATCGTAAAGAACCTCGAGAAAAATCTCTCGTACAGTTATTTTCAAATGGTACGAGAGTTCTTGGTTGCAGATTTTTAATCTGCGACCAAATCAGAAACCAGATATGGTTTGGATCTTCATGTCCGGAAAAGCTTTTAACTTTCTTTCTGTAATTTGACGAGATTAACATCTATGAAAATAAACTGAAAAAGATTATCACTAATGAAATGGTGCAGTTTGAACTGTCTTTCTTTTTCACTCAAATTGGTTCAAAGTTTCACCTTCTATAGTCCCACTTTAGCCTCAGATTTTATAGTCACACTATAACCAATTTAGTTAAGGGAATGTGCAAATTGAGCTAATTCTTTAACTAGAATTGAGTCAAGTCTTTTTTGTTTTATGATCATCCTGAATTATTATTAGGATTAATTTTATAAATATCTCTCTAAATATATGTATACTGTGTCAAAATGTCCTTTAATTTTACAAAACAATTCAAAATACCCCATAATATATAAAAAATAGTTCAAAACACCCATTTCGTCTAATTATGTTTATGAACTTAACAGAATTGCTGACGTGACACTAATATTAAAATATAAAAAATAATTGAGAACAAAATATTCAAAAAAAAAAATTAAAAAAAAAACCTTAACATTTTCCAAAAACAAAAAGAAAAACAAATAGCCAAATACTTTTAGCTACTCTCATTACCGAACCAAGCCTTGCTTTTAAATTTTTATGTTCCATTTTCACCAAGAATCTAATCACACAATCCGTGTTTTTCTTTCAGCTTCAATCAAGCCTATCCATTTCATAAATGCCAAAACAATGATAAATCGTATATAAAGTTTTCAAAATCTCCCTTTTCACCTTGCCGTCAAGCCTACCTTCTTGCCGCTCTAGAGCAGCCCCGCGCAGCCGAAGCTTGGATCGCCGAAGCCCCCCCTCTACCTCCCCACTCCTCGCCAGCATGAGGCTAGCGATGGACTTCGCCATGGGCTGGCAACTGATTCGCGACGAGCCATCTTTCTTAGTCCCATTATCGAATTTGGACTTGCTACTGATAAATTTGAACATTTAGATGGAGTCTTGAATATTGTGAATATTAGGGTTTTGGGTCATGGATTCTAGTGAATAAGAGGTGTTTGTACTGATTCTTTCAAGGTTTTCTTGAATATATGAAGGGGTTTTGTTTTTGGATCATTGTTTTTTAGGGTTGTGCTTTCCATAATTAAGGGGTTTTTCTGCCATGGATTGTTTCTTGTTAAGGATGGGCTTGAGGTTGAAGACGATGGTTAGAGATTTCTCTTCTTTTTTTTTTTTTTTTTTTTTTTTTTTTTTTTTTTTTTTAATATTAAGATGTTTTATTCCTTTTTTAATTATTTTTTAATACTTAATCTTTTGTTGATATATAATTAGAATTTAATATTTGTAATTAAACTCTAATAACACACGTCAACGAATCTGTGAGTATTATAAGTGGGAATGGATGAAAAAGACAAATTGATCCGTTTTCTATAAATCAGGAATATTTTAAACTGTTTTAAAAAATCAGAAAACGTTTATGAAATTAATCCATTACTATTATAATAAATAAAGTGAACAGAGGACGAAATGACTATGATTTATTGAAAAATACTTGTGTATTTAAATTAGGGAGAAAGAGGAAAATAAGTTAACACTTGAGATGAATTAAAATTAATAGGTCAATAGTTTACATAAGTTAATAAATAGGTTAAATTACTATTTTTGTCCTTAATTTATCTGGTTATGAATCATAACTTAACAAGTTATTGACGGTTTTTGTCCATAACTTAATAAGTTATTGACGATTTTTGTCTATAACTTATATGGCTAAATCATAACTTGACAAATTTATCCATAACTTATCTGATTATAAACTATAACTTAATAAATTATGACTTATTAATTTTTATAACTAAATATTGACCTGTATACTTTTCTTACCCTTTTCATATTGCGCTATTTTTTAGTATTTCCGTTTAAATTACTGCTGGTCCCAGCCCCAGCTGTTTTTCCACAAAGCCCAACCCAAGTTGGGTGCTGGCCCAGCGTAGTACATGTGACTTTTAAAGCCATCTTAGTCAATAATGAGGAATACCAAAACTAAAGCCCACTTAGATATTTTAGATTCTCTTGATAGAAATTTGACTTAAAAGTTTACTTGCCTCGAGCATCCACATGACACTCAATGTTAATATTTCCAGCACAGTCAGATCTAATGTTCAACTTGTCTGTTTCAAAATACAAATGTTTGGAGGAAAAGAAAAGAAAAGGACATTAGGGCCTATAAAGTAGCTTAGACAATACACACTGAAAGAAAATTTCTGCTTTTGCATAGTGTTTATATTACAACCTAAAAAGGTTTAGATCAAGAGAGGGAGAGGCCACAGGAGAAGGCAATTCCAGCCATGTTTAGTCCCTTCATCTTGCAATCAGGGAGTGGGACCCATGTCCACTCTTTCCTCTCCATGTCATAACACACCCAAATTATGTGCCATAATCCCTCAAAGTTAGACATCAAAACAGCCTTAATCCTACCATTTCTTCCCTCTAAACAACCTGTCATAGCCCCATAAGGCTTGTTAATTTTCAGCATCAATGAATTTGGTAGCTCAGATATGAATTCCCATTGCCTGCCATCCAATCCCATGCCCCACATTTCTATACCACTCAACATCCTTACTCTTGTGCCCGTTTGATAAACGCCGTCCGATTTCACGATCATCATGAAGCCATCACCGTACACGTGTAGCCTATCAATCCCGTTCCCCCAACTAAATCCAACAGTCAATCGCCCGTTGTCGTTGCGTCTCCCTTCAAATCTCGGCTGTAAAATTATAGGTGTACTACTCTGGAGTTTTATTGCAACTATCACGCTTTCGCTCACTCGATTAATTAAGCTTAGGAAAATATAATCCCCTTGTCTTTCACCGACACGTGGCAAACTTCCGTCACTTTCTTTAGCTTCCATGGACCGCCACGTTTCAGACTCAGAATTGTACTCAAACACGATTGCACGATTCTCGACCAACTCCGCAAATAAGAAGCGGAAATTGACCGATCCGGTTGGACTAGGTACCAATTTCATCCCCGATCTCCGCCACGAACAAGTGCCACGTCGACCTAAAGGGCTTGGAGGGATCTTCTTAACAGTATTTGTAACTAAATTAACAGTAATAACCGACTGAAGTGTGTTGGAGGCAAAAAGAAATAGATTACCACTCGCCGTCAAGAAAAAAAGATCCTCCCCGGGAAAAATTGCGGGCCTTAACAAATCGGAGATCGAGAACTGGAACCACCGGTCGGAGTGATCGGCGAAGCCGTCGAGCACGGAGTCGCAACGGCGCCTTTTCTTGTAGAGAAAGAGCCACGTGGCGGAGCTCCATTGGGAGTTGCACTGGCGTATGAAGTCTCGGTTACAGATGATTTCAGCCGCACTTTTGCTTACCAATTTGAACCGGATTATCTCCGGCAAGGCCAAGCAGAGTAGAATTCTTTCTATGAGCTCTGAGGGAAGAAGGCAAAACCCAATTGCGTTTGTTGATGGAATTCTACAATTGGCCATTTGGGTTTTAGAGTATATTCCCAAATTCCCTCTCTTGTACTAATCCGATTCAATACATATATATATATATATATAATATTACAGTGGTTGGTTTGCTTAGCTTTTGGGGGACCTTGATAATGTAATATAAGAGTATTTTAATTGTTATGATTGCGATTATAAAATTAAAGCGTGCTGTGTTTATCTAATTGATAAAGGATGATGATCAAAGGACAAAAGACTCCAACAAAGCATCTTTTGTTTAATCGTCATGGTTGGCTAAATGGGCGGTGCAATTGTGGACAGAATTGAGTGTTTGTCTTTCCTTTTTTTTAAGTACAGAATCAATTTTGTTGAGTCGGATCTCAATTGTCGGAATGTTAATGCTTTTGTAGTCCGACGATGATTCAACTTTACTGAATTTTGCAGTTTGTCTAAACCCACCAAAAAAAAAAAAAAAAAAAAAAAAAAAAAAAAAAAAAAAAACTATTCAAAATTCTAGTGATTGTTTCAATGCATCAAGAATTTGATTAGTAATTAGGATCATGTGTACGTTAAATTTGCATGCTTCTGGATGACCATGTTTTATATTAATGCTGAGGGTCAGTTCGGTCAATCTATGCTGAGGATGAAATATGACCTATATGTTTGTAAGTGGTGTTCTTTTTTTCTGAAGAAAAAAATAGCCACATCATTTTTTTTTTCTAATCATTAGCCACATTAGTTTGACCGTTTTTTACATCATTTTTTGTCCTTTGATAACACGTGGCATCTCTCTAGTGGGTAAAATTGGTTACCCCACCCTTACATAACACTGATGTTGTGGATTAAAGAGAATAAGTTATATATAAAAAGACAAGGAAGAAATCAGTAAAATAATGAAAATGAGAAGCATGACGAAAGCAAAATTGGAAATAAATGAGAAAATAAATATACAACTTTTTTAAACACACAAGCGTGGGGTTGGTATATGCCGAATCACAGGTAGTTTATAGTTAGTAGAGTGGAATGAGTCATGTTGTTACCTTTGATGAAGAGGATGTCCAATACATGCCTTTCTTTAGTTTTGTTAAATTGGTTGAAATGAGGTGATTGGCTGAGAAGAAGTAGAGCGAAATGCATGCCACTTTTGGCTTTTGCTTTACATATGCTTTGTTATGGTCTTTTACTCTAATCAAATTCAACTTCTTTTTTTTTTTTTTTTATCCGAATCACATTCAACTACTTAATAAATGGGTTTGTAATCTAAGATTAGTGGATTACACACTAATGTAAAGGATTTGATTATATATTGAAAGAGAAAATTACTGAACTTATCTTTAAGAGTGTATAGATTTTAATTTTTATAGTTTTTTTTTAAATAAAAATCTAGACTCATAAGTGATAAGGAGGTATTTGCCGTCTGTCTTCCTCTCGATAAAAAGCTTCAAATTAGTGTTTTTATTCTCACAAATTGTACCTCTAAAGTAAATTGGTTATGAAATGAACTCGGACTCCACGGCTTAAAAAGCACATGACGACTAGTGCCTAAGACAAGATTTGGACCTTTGATGATCCTCCCCGAGTAAACACTACAGTTTACAAGTACACAGTGTAAATGTCAACACAAAATATTAAATCTAACATAAAAAGAAGTAACAATGATGTATTTAGCATGTAGTTCAATAAGTAATGCTATTTTTAAATGCTTTTGTATTCTTTTCTGCATAAAGTTTTAGCTTTGGAATTTCTTAAAAAAATTATTTTCAATAATTGAAAAGTAATAATATATCTACTGAAAAACATAATAACATTTAAATTATTAAGTATAAAGTCAACACAAATAACAATTAAAATTTGACACAAATTTTTAAATGCTAAAGTTGACACCCCATATAACATACCCCAAATTTCACGTCAAATATAACGTAATATTGGATAAAAAATTTCACATCTAATAAAATATTAAATTTTAGTACTGGTATAAAAATTGAGAGATTTTAGTACTTGTCCCCAACTGGGAGTGTAAATTTTACACCCTCAGATTTAAATCGAACGGTCTAAAGAGATTAAAGATTACAAAACTAAAATGAAACCGTTACCAAATTAAGAATAAAATATAAAACAAAGCTTCAACGGCATCATTTACAGGGAAATTTTTTTTTTTTTTTTTTGATGGTCGTTGGAGGAAGAGGAGGGTTGGAAGGCGAGGCAACCGGCGGATTTCGTCTCTTTGACTTAATTTCTTTACGATTCTCATTTAACTTTTGTTAATTATGTAGTGATTTTTGTTCACTGTAAAATCCCCATCCCTTTTGATTTCGCAATTGTGTTACGAAAAGAAAGTGACTTCCTGCTTTATTTATTGAACTCAATGAACTCCGTGTACAATTCTGCATCCATTAATTTTGTTCAAATTAATAATAATGATTAAAACTAATTTCTTCTTTTTGTTGGCAATGGAGTTGGGTATTGATGAGATACGGGTGAGGAAAGGCTGCTTAGAAAGGGGTTTTCATTTTCTTTATGAATTGTTATCGCTTTCATGGCTGATGGGCAACACCCGCTGTGGATCTTTCAAGGAAAAAAACGACAGCAAAATTTTTTTTTAAAAAGTAGTCACATTTAATTTTTTTACTATAATAAAAAATTATCACATCTTAACTCGAATCAACGAACTAAACGGATTATTAGCATTTCATTGATTTCTCTGATGAATTCCAACACCTGGAGTGCAAACAATAGAGCTCAAAACGAAAGCAAGAGAATCATTTAAAGCACTCTAAACTCATAAATTCAACACCTAACCCTGATAATTTCTCTAAAAATAATTAAAAAAACTCCCAGCCCTGATAAGTAGCTTCGAATAAAAGTAACAAAAATAATAATATATATATTTTTCATCAAGGGTGTTAAAATCTAGAACACAGATCTAATAATTAACGCCTTTGATAGAGCTCAAGAACTCACTTTGTGAAAACTCAATTAGAAAGAAAGGGGTATTTTACACATTTATCCCCTGAACTTATATGGCTATAACAATTTACCCTCTGAATTTTTAATTTTAACAAGTTATTCTCTTAACTTGTAAAATTATCACAATATGCCCATTTTGACAATGATTGTGTTAAATTAGTGTTGAAAAACACATACAATAAAAAATTATAACATCCCAATTTAAATAAAATATAAATCTTTTAATTACTCAACTTTTAGTCCTTAAATCTAATAAAAATTAAAGCAATTTTTAAAAAATAAGCCATATTGCTATAGTTTTAAAAGTTATGGGAGTTAATTATTAAAATTAAAAATTTGTGGGGCAAATTACTAAATTATGACAAGTTCGAAAGGCAATCGTGTTAAAAAAAAAAGTGGTGGTCATTCAAGAAATGACTGTTAATGAAAAATATAAAAAAATAAAACTTCATAGGCAACCTATTATATTCATATTTATCATAATAACCACATGACTATTATGTTCAGTATTCATCATAATAACCACATGCGGTGGTAGCATAACGACCAGAAACAACTTAATAGGACTCTCCTACTTAACATTAGAGAATCGATTATCCTAGTGAAATTGAAAATTATGTTCTCTATCAACCTACCTAATAAGATTTGGACTAAGTTGATTTTTGACTCATTAAATGCTAGGTGAAGAAAGTATGAGTAAATTTCTTTTCCGTTCTACCTATAGACCTAATAGATTGCTAGATAATTAATCGGTTGGCAGCATGAGAACACTAATAATCCCCTTTTATTGTAGGAAAAAAAAAACAATACGTGACATTTTTTTTTCTTTTATATTCCTGTCCAATAAATATATACTACTTGAAACTTGGATAAGAATAAAATGAGCTCATTCCAAGTGACGGTTGAACCTTTCGGAGACGTTTGGTTCATGGATTAGAATCATGAGATTAGAATTAGCGAATCATGAACTATGATTTGAATCGGAATATAAATCCTCCAACCAAACAACTCCTTCATTTGTCACGTTCGGTGGAGCCTTCAGGAAACTCAATGACTCACCTAGTCACCTTTCCATAACGGAAAATAACGAACAACTGAAAGGGCTACAATGGCTGCCCCTTTGCCCCTCCACCACATAAGACCACCGTTCTCTCAAGACAACCCTCCTTTCTGAAATCCCACCACCACTGCCTCCACCTCTGCCACCTCCGCCGTCACAACAACCACCGCAACTGTCACTCCCAACAACAATTCAATAATCAACACGCCAATTCAACCGCACCCATGTCTAGCGTTGCTAGAGAAATGCTCCGATATGTCTCAGTAGTCAGCACAAGCAAATCCACGCCCAATTGCTCCGAACCAGCCTCTTCTTCACCGCCTTCACCGCCAGCAAGATCGTTGCCCTCTGCGCTCCCGAGGACTCCGGAAGCCTCAATTATGCCCGTCTAGTCTTGAGCCAAATTTCCAATCCTACCATTTACACTTGCAATTCCATCATAAGAGGCTACACGAACTGGCATTGTCCTCGCGAGGCGATTCTTTTCTACCGAGAGATGATTTTCAATGGCTTTGAGGCCGATAGGTTTACTTTCCCTTCTTTGTTCAAGTATTGTGAGGATTTGCACGAGGGAAAGCAGCTTTATAATCACTCTATCAAGTTGGGGTTCGCTTCGAATTCTTATGTGCAAAACACTCTGATGAACATGTATTCGAATTGCGGATGTTTGGTTTCTGCGCGGAAGAAGTTCAAGAAAATAGCGGAGAGAACTGTGGTTTCTTGGGCAACCATGATTGGCGCTTATGCTCAATGGAACCAACCTACTGAAGCTTTCGAGCTCTTTGATAGGATGATGAGTGAAAATGTGAAGCCCAATGAGGTTACTTTGGTCAATGTCTTGAATGCCCGTGCCAAAGCGAGGGATTTGGAAACAGCAAAACACATGCATAACTATGTTGACGAGAGTGGTTTCGGGTGTCATGCTAAACTCAATACGGCTCTTATGGATGTCTACTGCAAGTGTGTAAGTGTGTTGCTAGCTAGAGATTTATTCGACAAGATGCCGGAGAAGTACTTGTTCTGTTTGAACGTCGTGATCAACGGACATGTCAACGACAGTGATTACAAAGAGGCTTTTTTGCTCTTCCGTGAAATGCAACTCAAAGGAGAGAAGGGGGATAAGGTGACCATGATCAGCTTGCTGCTTGCTTGCAGCCATTTAGGTGCTCTTGAGCTCGGTAAGTGGTTACATGCCTATATCAAGAAGGAGAAAATTGAGGTGGATGCGACCCTGGGAACCACACTCGTTGACATGTACGCAAAGTGCGGGGGAATAGAATCTGCAATAAATGTTTTCCAACAACTTCCAGAGAAAGATGTCATGACTTGGACTGCCTTGATTACTGGTCTCACAATGTGCGGGGAAGAGGAGATGGCTTTAGAGTACTTCCATGAGATGCGGATAAGTGGGGTGAAACCATATGCAGTGACCTTTGTTGGTGTATTGGCAGCTTGTAGTCATGCTGATTTAGCTGATGACGGAATTTCACACTTCAACTCGATGTCTAGTATGTATGGCATCAAACCTAGTATTGATCACTATGGTTGTATGGTCGATCTATTAGACCCAGCTGGGAGAATAGGAGAAGCAGAGGAGTTGATTCGAAAAATGCCAATCCCGCCAGATCGTTTTGTTCGCAGGGGCCTTCTTGGTGCATGCAGAATACATGGAAACCTCAAAGTGGCTGAAAGAGCTGCTCAGCAACTTTTGGAACTTGACTCAGAAAATGAAGGAACGTATGTGCTTTTATCAAACATTTATAGCTCGTTTAAGAAATGAAAGGAAGCTAAAAGAGTTCGGCAGCTTCTGGTGGACAGAAACATAAACAAATCCCCGGGTTGCAGTCTGATTGAGATTGATGGAATCGTCCATGAATTTGTGAAGGGAGATTCATCTCACCCGCAAGTGACAGAGATCAATCGAATGTTGGATGACATGAGCAACAGGTTAAAGGAGGCTGGTTATGTTCCTGAGAGATCTGAGGTGAGAGACTGCACTTAGCCTCCATAATGAGAAGCTGGCAATTTGCATTTGGGCTCATAAGTACAAATCCTGGGACACCAATCCAAGTTGTGAAAAACCTTCGTGTTTGTGCTGATTGTCACACTGCAACAAAGTTCATCTCAAAAGTTTACAAAAGGGAAATAATTGAGCGGGACAGGAACCGGTTCCACCGTTCTAAAGATGGGTCCTGTTCTTGTAAAGATTTCTGGTGACGTGACATTTAATGCTACACTATAAAGTAATGTCTTTATCTTGACTTTACTAATCAATTAAACTATCCACTTCGGGGACACAATGAGATGGATCCGCGTTATCTCAGCCAGGAAATACATTGAGAGATACTGAGAGAAAGGAGCCACATGGAAGCTTCTTTGCAAATATGCATTGGAAGAATTCTCCAACATAGAAGGCATGGATCTATCTGCAAGCCAACATACGATTGTTGACCTTGGGATTTCCTCCCAGCGATATCATGGATGTCCAACTAAAGCATTCTTTCAAAGAAATCAAGATGGGGTTTATGCATGTGACCAGAAAAACATGTAATGTTGTGGAGCAGCTACAATATAAATATATCTTTAAACATGATGTTGATAGCATGAACACAAACATAAGAATGGTGTAACGTTGAAGTTTCCTACACTAGCCGACCACATCAAGGGAGGGCCTCACAGTCAATCTTCAGGGGAAATGAGGTATGTCAGCTTAACTAAATGCATCAAATCCCAGATTTGTTTAAAAAAGAAAATCAAGAAACAAAATACAATTATCTAAATTACATACAAAAAGCACATGAATGCGATGAATATTCTTGGTTTAGACGACGAGCAAAGATGGACATGAAACCTTCTATTACTCTGAGAGTCCTTATAAAACACCAAAGAAAAACGAATTTTTCCGATGGAAGGAAATTAGTGCCAGCTAAAAATGCTGCCAGAAACCATATATCTGTAAAGATTTCATATCATTAAAATAATCAATAGTAGAGTTTAGCTGCTTTCAAACAAAACCATTCATAATAGGAATACACTAAAGATATCCTACTAAGCCCCTGTTTTAAAAACGAAAGATTACAAAATAAAAGTCATCACACGGAAGCAAGTTTACCAAGTATGGGCTTCCGTTGACTATCTTCTGCATAGTCATCACCATCACTCTCATCATCAGTCTGCTTAGACGCATCCGATTCGCGCTGTGCCGGAGCGCTGACACCTTTGGTAACCGACTGCTGATAAAGAACTCCTCCTACAATTGTAAAGAGGAGGCAGACCAAACCAAAGGGACTGGCATGCTTATCCCAAATCATCACATTGATGGCAACTGTAAGAAACTTGTTTACCACCCCAGTAACAGTGAATGCCGTAGCAGAGATCGCCTTCCTTGCTGCAAACCCAAAGAAACTAATAAGCAAACCAAACACACAGGACAACGAGACTGCATAAAACGCAGCAGGCTCAAACCAATTCCCAGCATTCGATCCCAAAGCCGCAAACACCTCGCCGTACTCCCCGGTAATAATCCAAAACAACGGAGCAATCATCAAGGACAACAAATTGTTGTACAACACGAAACCCCAGGTGTTCAACCCAAGATTTGTGACCATGTGCTTGATGTAAACCATTTCAGTAGTGATCGTCACTAAATAAGCAAACGCCCACGAATAAGCAGTCAAAGTAAAACCCGAATCCGTGGCGACATAGCCAACGGCTCCACCCAAAATGATCAACAAAGAGACAAAAGTGAGCTTGGAAGGACATGGCTGTTTCCTAAACGCCGTATCGGCTATCGCAACCAAAAGGGGCGTCAAAGATCTGAACACAATAAACGTATCGACATTGGCGTGGCGAAGAAGATTCGTGTTCGTGAAGATTGCCAGATAGAAAACAATGGCCGCGGGTAAAAACTTCTTGGCATTGTCCCAAGTAAAGGCGTCATGATGCAAAAAACCCAATTTCCCCATAACCCAAACTCCCAAAGCAGAAGTTAGGTATTGCAGAGCAGTCAAAAGGCCAGGGTAGTTGAACTTGGTAATGGCGAACTTGTTTATCACCGCAAGCAAGCTCGAACACAGAGCGTAACCCACCACAAGACCGCTCGTGGTGTAGTACTGCTTTGTGGAATCGAATCGAATCGAAGACATTATTCCAAAAAAGTTGGGATAAAAAAAAAAACCCTAGTTTGTTCTTTTCCCAAATCAAAATTTTCAACGCACCCAAATCGAGATCTTCAATCTTCAGCAGTGCGTTGGGCTATTTACGGTAAAATTCGATCCTACGACTTGGTAAGAAAATCTAAGACGTGGGAATTGAAGATTAAGCAAATCTAAGGCAAATGAAATCACAAAAATGTCGATCGAAATTGGAGATTTTTTGGGAGAAATTATACATCACCGACTAGTGAAGAAGCGAAGATCTTGAACGGAAAAGCTTCGGAAGAGAAATGGTGAGAAAATTGAGAAGAAAATGGAGGTTGAGAAATGTCGGTGGAGAGAATGGGACGAAATGGAGGATTGAAATTGAATGGATAAATGGAGGATTTATTTCTTTTGTCTGCAGCAAGACAAGTTATGCGGCGTCGTTTTGGAAGGTTTGTGCAGGTCTACGTCTAACGCCGTCGTGACAGGACTTTTATTAGGGAAAATTAATATTATATTGTAGTATTTGTGTTTTATAAAATTAGTGCATTCATATTCTTATTATTATTATTATTATTTATTATTATTTTTTTTTTGAGAATGATATACTTCTTTAGATTCAACGAGGCTGTGAATTGTAATTTGTATCCACCAAAAGCATCACAACTATTTTCCACTATAAATTCATCAAAGAGAGCCGTTGATTCATATAAGCTAAATCCATGAACTCAACTTAATGCGAAAGAAGCAAAAACAAAAATTTTAATTCATTTCAATGAGATATATCCTCATGGAGATATTCAAGCAAAAAACGTGGTATGGTAATGCGTGAGCAGTTAGAATAAGATTTTGTCTATGAATCTATTTATGAGAAGAGACCCATATTAAAAAGATTAAGTTTAAATATGATTCTGAATACACGAGGTTGGATTAGGATCTAACATATAGTTGAGTGAGTTCATGTCAAGATCAAGGAACGTCATCTTTGATGCTCATTGACTTATACACGAATAATAATAAAAAAAAAAAGTTACCATTTTTATGAAAAAATTATTCTCTCTTTTATATACACAAAGAAAAAATCCTTTTTAAGAATTAATTTACATAAGCGTGCAAAATCACTTAAAAATGTTATTTTGGCTGTATGGTATTCGAATGATCACCCTTGTATTGTGAGCATTATAAATGCGCCCGATACACATTAAAAAGGATCTTTTAGCCAAGTAAAAAGAAAATTGAGAGAGATTTTGTGACAAACATCACACAATCTTCTTCTTCATTTAATACAATGGCTTAATGAATGTAGATCTTATTAATGATCGAACCATTTTAAACCTTGTCTTGTTTTATATTTACGTTTGTTTTTGTTTTTTTTCTCATTATAACCCTTTCCATCCTCATGTGTACATAAATCTCTCCAGTCATCATGAGCATTCTCTTCAACTCACTATTTAAGCTAACAAAATTTGATCTCCTTGTTGATTGAATCTCCCATTAACAATATATAACAAATACAAAATTATTATATAAAAATTGAAAATGATTATTTATTTTATTTTTTACGCAATCTTAATTTTATGTGATTTTCTATTTTGATTTTTTATATCCTAAAAATGACTAACAAAGCAAATGATGTCCCAAAATTCTATCAAATTTTCTTATAACAACTTATAATTTGGAAAATTCTCAAAATCTCAATAATACCAAGTTTGACATTTAAATATATTCATTTTTCAAACTTAAATCCTGAATGAACTAAAAATAAAAATATTTTACAATATAATTCATAGTTTTGGGACTTTAAACTTTTAAAAAATGAAAAGAACTATATTATAAGCTTAGTTCATTTGAAAGAAAAAAGAAAAAGAAAAATAGATAAATAAAGATAAAATGGAGAGACAGAAATTTTTTTAAAAAATATATACTGTATATTTTACCTCAAAATTTTCCTTTAGTTCGTACCTGAAAAAAAAAAATTATGGATTTACGAATGGTAATTTCTGAATTTACAGAAATCGGGAAGCGTGAATTTTTTTCTTTTGATTATGAATATGATTTAATTTTGTCCTTGATATGGAGTTCTAAAACTAAGCACTATTGGTAGAATACATACATTTTTCCGTACTCACCCATAAAATTTAATATTCTTATGTGTTTTATTTTAAAATTATTCAAAGAATAAAAAAAAAAGGAAGGGGAAGAGGCTGGATCTTTAACGGAGAAGGCGTTAGGCAAGTATTCATTTTTTACTTTTCCACACGCTGACGCGAGTACGAACATGATGATGATGGTACTCTGATCTGGTCACCTTGACCACAGGCACATATTCAACGTGCACATGTTTGTTTATGTGTATTTTTTTTTTTTTGTTGAAAATTAAAACTTACGTTTAGAGTTTGTTTTAAAATAATTTTTAGTTTTTTTTATAAAAATAAAAATAAAAATGAAGACGTTTTTAATTTCAGATAAAAATAATTTTTAAAAATGTGTTTAGTAGTTTTATTAAGAAATTATTTTCAGTATAAAAAACTCATTAATCTCTATCTCTCTGCTCGAAAAAGAAAAAACTGAAAAAGAAAAAATAAAAAAATGACTAAAAGTCGTTTTTCATTTCTCTCATATTTTACACTAAACTAAAAAATTATTTTTATTTTCATTTTTTATCTTTAATTATGCCAAACTTCTTTTTATAATCATTTTTATTTTTTCTTTTTCAAAAATCCTGAAAAATAAAAATAAGAATAATTTCATACACGCTAATCATTTTTCACCGAGTGACACTATTTTAATTATTAGATTACTTTTTCAATGATCATATTTATAAATGGGCACAATTCTTTTTCTACTGTGTGTTGTATTTTTTAACACATATGTTCACAAATATCACCATGAAAAAAATTAATCAAACTATTAAAAAAATTAACTATCAGAATATATTATTGGCATAAGAACAATAATTCGGAAGACAAGTTGACTAAAACTCAATAATTCAAAAAGAATTTATGAAATTATAAATTATTTCATGTCATCATTTTGTTAATATTATCTACAAAGGTGGTCTTTTGAATTAGAGTACATAATTTAGGAGAGAAAATGAACGCTGATAATTCTATGAAATAAAGTTATTATACCAATTTTGATTCATCTAAATTGACCATGCCCTTAAAATTGTACTTATTTTTAGTCTAATTTTGTGTATTTTTGTTTAATCTATTTTAGTTTAACTTTGTTTTTAATTTATTTTATTTTTAGTGAAATTTCACTTTATTTTACTTAGTTTAGTATTAATTTTATATTGTTATTAACTAATATCCCTTCGAAAATAATTATCTATCCTGATTTGTGTAATTAAATTTGGTGATAGGGGATTAAAATGTTAATTTTGGAGCAAAATAGGGTCACAATTGCAAAGAAAAAACCTTCAAAATTCGAATTGGAATCTGCCTTATAAAAAGTCCTAACGCATGAGTAGAAAAAGAGCATCAATTTCGATATCAGTCGTCCTAATCGAGCACCTAAGCTGCCTCTTGCTTAAAACTAAGAGCCCGACATGATCGATCACCTCATGTCATGCTGAGTCATGTGTTGTAAAAAACATCCTTAAGTTTATACTAAACGAACCCTTAAGAGCCCAAAAATTATTAGAATTGGGAGACTATAGACTTGTCTAATCCTTGAGCATAAGGGTGCTCATAGCACAACAATAGTGGACAAAATCCATAAAGAACGAGCAATAGCGACCTTTTTTTTTTTAAATTAACGCTTTGATAATAGACAACGACTCACAAGTGAACGACACTAAGTAGAAACTCGTTTTTTCTCTCACAAAATAAGAACTTAGGGGATCTATGGTTGGAATTATTAACCAAAGGTAGAGGGGAATGATGTTTACTACTTAACGAGTTTAGAGTACATAAGTAAAAAGAACGAAGTACGTAGTTAAATAAACCTCACGTCATTGAGATTAGATTGGAATTAAGAAAGTATTCAAAAATAACATAAATAGAGGAGGCTCATGATTATGAAAATCTTGGCATTACAAAAATACAAGCCTTGAGGTTGTCACAATGGAGTGAGTACGAGCAAGGAACAAGGACCCGAGTGCTATTTTCTTTTTTGAACTCAGCCAATTGTTAGTTTTCGAAACATTTTCGTGTGCGGAAGCGTGGTAGTACGGATCGTGTATAACAAAAATTTTCATAAAACACTAGGAGAACACTAAGAGAACCTCTTTGCTTTAAGTTAAAGACAAAGTAATAGAAAAACATATTACTACTATATTTTAATCCCATTAAAATTTAGTTTCCTATTTAATTTTGGAAACAAAATTCTCTCATTTCCCTCTACTATATTGTCGGCTACACTATAGGGAGACCTCTTTGTGGTTGGCGTAAATTTCCAGCAGGAGAGAGAAAAAACTCCTCATTTATCCACTTTCAAATTTTAGCTCAAATTCAAATCTAAATAAAGTCATACTTCATTTTCCTTTCAAATTGGAAAACTTGTCAAACATTTAAACTGGTTATCTTAGAGATCAAGCAACTGAATCCCATAGGGATTCTACCTGTGTCACACGCCCCCTGCACCACCCTGTGTTTGGGCGTGTGACCCCCTGTGGTCCTACCACAGCGTGTTCCAAAATTTATTTAATTAAATAATCACATTATTTATTTTGAGTGATATTAAATCCTGATAATTCATCTTATTTTGCAAATATTAGAAGGATGACGCGGGGACTCATGGACCTATAATTCTAAGCTCTAATAAAATTAATAATTAATTAAACTCTTTAATTAATTAATTAATCTATTAATTCTAAAAGTTACTCCACTAAAAACTTAGAATTGCACTCTCGAAATTATAGACATAATTACTTCTAAGAACTTGAAGTGTCCGATATAGTGATTACATATAGATCAATCATCCATAAATAATTCATAATTAGAGCTAGGTAATATTCGTTAACCTCTCTAATTACATCTTTATCCTTGAATACCATTGATTCTCTAATGAATAGTATATTTATAAAACACATTCATGAAAATGAGCTTGTTACTTATTCAAGTACCGAATCAACTCTCAAGGAAATCATTTATCTACTTCTTCAAAGAAGAAGGAATGTGTTCCATCTCGTATATTAGTATTATTGGCTATCCATTTCATCATGTTTTCAAGATACAAGGAATAAGATTTAGGATCTCAAAATCCATACCAAATAAATCAAAAAACATGAGTCCATAAACATGAGTCTACTAATAACTCAAGATTAAAATCAATTTATTTATGACAATCGACTGACTCAAATTTGATTTTTCATAGTTAATGTAAATTATTAAAAAATTAAATTGTGTCTGTCGCAGTTCTACATAATCTTATT